TCAGCATCAAACGGACCAAATGTTAAAAAAATGGGATGCTTTGTGTACGCTTTTCTGCGTGAAGGTATGGGGGCAACAACTTGGAGCTTGGTCCATTTCTCTGTTGGAAAATACCAAACCGTGCCCTAAATCAGATAAGGGAGAGAGCGAGAGAGCGAGAGACTGCAGAGCGAGAGAGAGAATGCAGAAGCGAGAGCCGGGCAAGAGCGGTGGCTCAGCTGGCGGTCCCGCCGCTCCGGCGGCTAAGAGGGGCCGCCCATTTTGGTAGCACGAGTGGTAGCGCTGCTGCTGCCGCTGCAGCTGCAGCAGCCGACGCTACGGCTCCGTCAGCTCTACTGGGTCCATCTCTCCAGGTTCATAGCTCCTTCGCAGGTAAGATTGTAACCCTACCTTTTTGAAATTATCTTTGTTTAACAGCTCGGTTTTATTTCAAATTTCACCAGTATGGGGGTAATCTTTCACAGTTTATTCAATATGTGTTTATTGTCTGATGTTCTCGAGAGAGTGACAGTATGCCTTTTGAGTTTATTTTCCCCTTAAGATAAAGATTAGTGCCCAAATGTATTACGTTTTGGTAAATTAGAAAGAAAAAATGGGAACTCCATTATTGGTCGTTGTTAAATATTGTTACAAGGTGTATACATTTTTACAGGGCAAGAAGGAAGCTTCTATGATTAACTTAGGAATGATAAAGGGTAGGTTCTTTTGTTATAATTACACGCTCTGTCTTCACTGCACTGATTCTATATCCAGATCAGAACCATAAAAGGATAGTTCTTGCTCTTCAAAGTGGACTGAAGAGTGAGCTCATATGGGCATTGAATACACTCACATTGCTGTCTTTCAAGGAAAAGGATGATATGCGGAAAGACGCAACTCCTCTTGCCAAAATACCCGGCTTGCTGGATGCTCTTCTCCAAGTTGTATGGGCTTATGTTTTGCTATTTTCTGTTTGTTATGTTTTTATTCTCATATAAAACGACTTGGTTTTTATTGCTACATATTTATTCAATGTTTATAATGTGATTATAAATTCTAAATGAAACAGATAGATGATTGGCGTGATATTGCACTTCCAAAAGAGCTCTCAAAAGGACCTAGGATCAGGAATTTAGGTGCAAATTCTCTGGTAACAGGATTTGGCAATGAGTATGAGGCTCTGGGTACTTATGATACTCTTCCTCGGTCTGGGTGAGCAAAAAATAATAGTTTATCTATTTTCTATTTGACTTTTCCAGTTCTGGAAACCTGCTATTTGTTTTGGGAGTTGCATCCTGAAATTGGATGAAATATATGGCAGATTGGGATTGAGTTCTTCCTTAGCTGAGGCCTCAACTATAAAAATTACAGCCAAACTTCAACATCCACAGTGGTGGTTGGATGAAGATGGGCTGTTTAATCTAGATGATGAGGGGCGTGCAGAAAAACAGCAGTGTGCTGTTGGAGCTTCAAATGTTATCCGTAACTTCTCGTTCATGCCGGATAATGAAGTTATTATGGCTCAACACAGGCATTGCTTGGAAACCGTGTTCCAGTGCATTGAAGATCACAAAACAGGTGATTAAATTTGGTTACAAGCTGCATTCTCTTGAATTTGCCTTCATGCATAAGATCTTTCTTTTAATTGGATATTATTTAGGGAAGGCTTGTTTTGAATAAAATCTGACCTGGGTTCTACTTTAGAGATTGGAGACATTTATATGGACTGTTATACCTCTGTGAATTCTTCTATACTTGTAATTTTGCTTTCATCCTTTTTGTTCTGTCACTCTGCTTCTGCTGCTTTGTTATTTTGTAATTCTGATCCAAATGAAAATAATGGAAGGAAATCATTACTTGTACTGGTCTATAAATAATCAATTTATTTATTTAAGCAGGTTGTTGAGTTAGCATTGATGGCTTAGCAAAAATAACAGAGGATGTAGCCCTGACTGAATGAATATTCAGTTGTTTTCATTTCCAATAATTTTTGTTAACATAGGAAGATGTTTTGTCGCAAAACTAAAAGTTACGGCTTAGTTTGAGTTTAAAATTGGTTCTCTTTTTCTCGTATTAATTGTTTTTGGCAACCATCAGATGTTGAAGCAATGCCATTATTGCTTTAAAATTCTCAGTCCTGCCTTTCTCTGGGGAGTAAGATATGGAAATGGAACAAGCATACTAACTAAATAACTATGGTTGAGCTTGTCATGCATTTACATAAATCATTTTCTCAATCAATGTTGATGAACTATTGTTTTTTCCCCCCGGAAGTAATACTCTTTTCTCTTCATAATTTATGTATCCGAATGAGCCTAACAATATGTGAGATGCATATCCATAATCTATGGTTTCTCACTTGCTTAGGATATTGATTGTTCCTAATTAGTGGTTGTATTTCTCCTTTGAAATTACTTCATTGGCTTGGCATGATAATTTTTGTTTCTTACCAAGATTTTCTGGGTGCTTCGTTTAAAACTTCATACTTTTATATAACAATTTTCCCTGCTCATGCTAATCCGAAATTTTCTTTAAAATGTTTTTACATTGATTCTTTAGTTTGAAATGCATCTAAAATATTGGCAGAGGATGAGGAACTGGTCACAAATGCGCTTGAGACAATTGTAAATCTTGCTCCGCTGCTGGATCTTCGAATTTTTAGCTCAGCAAAAGTATCTTACATCAAAATAACGTGAGAACTTGGTTCTGCTTTCTTCCTCAGTATATGTTTCTCTTATTTATAAGTCCTACTTTATGAAGTTCATTAATTTGCTTTGCCAAAACAGTGAGAAACGCGCAGTTCAAGCCATTATGGGCATTTTAGAATCTCCTGTCAAAGCCTGGCATTGTGCTGCAGCTGAATTACTTGGGCGTATGATAATAAATCCAGATAATGAACCTTTTCTTCTTCCCTTTGTTCCACAGGTTTATACTTTTTGCTTGCGCTTGATTCCACAATATGAATGTATTGCACTTGCTATAAATTGTAATGCTGACTTGATTAGTACTGCAGATACATAAGCGCTTAATTGATCTTCTGAGCATTCAAGCCTTTGATGCACAAGCTGCTGCTGTTGGAGCACTCTATAACCTTTCAGAAGTTAATATGGACTGCAGATTGAAACTTGCCAACGAGAGATGGTGATTCTGTTGACTCTTTTATCTTTGTTTTTTGAAGAGTGTAACTTTTGGTTGGTAATATTTATAGCGGAACTAACATAAGTATCGAATGCATGTTTCACCAAATTAGGGCCATTGATAGACTATTGAAAGTGATCAAGATGCCACATCCTGTTCCTGAAGTCTGCAGAAAAGCTGCAATGATACTGGAGAGCCTCGTGTCTGAGCCGCAAAATAGGGTTTTACTGCTTGCTTATGAGAATGCGTTTGCAGAGATGCTCTTCTCAGATGGTAGGTATTCTGATACATTTGCCAGGATACTCTATGAACTAACTTCTAGACCTAACAATAAAGTGGCAGCAGCTCGGGGTGTCTGGGGCATGTAACTTAACACTGATCTTTTCCTCTAGGTAAAACGAATATTAGTTCAACACTCATTTAAGGATTGTATTTTTGTAAATGTACATTCTAGTGCTCTTATTTTCATTTCCTGTTGCAATTTTTTAAAGTTTCAGCACCGATCTTCACATTTATTTGTTTATATATTAATAAAAATCATAATTAGGTTGCAAATGACTATATCATCATCGATGTTTTGTCCTAAAAAAACAAATAAAAAAGGGAGAAAATTCGTATAGCAATAAAGCTCATAGCTAAACATGCAGTGCGCATTAATTTAACAACAATCATTTCTTACATTGATATGCATTTGATGCTGCCTCACAAAGAAAAAGGATTCCACCAAACGCACATTTATAGTTTGAAGAAAAGATACATGTATAAATTCCACATCAGAGCTTAATATTACATACGTACACAAGCATACCACGCACAGAGATACACACACACTAGTTTTTGATTACAAAGAATGACAAAAAACATAAGTTCTTGCAAAATAAAATTAAACTAGGCATTAATCAATAAAGTCTGCTACTTCAGGGAGCTCATCAATTTCATCAGACCAGGTATTCTTCTCTTTAACGGGATCAATTGCTCTCCTTGCAATCCACACAGCACTGTTGCACTTGAAACCCGATCCAAACCCGATTTGCCAAATCTTATCACCTTTTTTGATCCTTCCTTTTGCTTCTGAGTAAGCTAATTCGTACCACAAACAACTGCTTGAAGTATTTCCAAACCTATATAAAGTCATCCGTGAAGGCTCCATATGCCATTCAGTGAGTTCAAGTCTTTTCTCTACCTCATCCAATACCGCTTTCCCTCCCGGATGAATGCAAAAGTGTTGAAAAGCCATCTTGAAATTAGGAACATACGACCTTATCATCTTCATTTTCAGAAACTTCCTTGCTATAAAAGTTGCAAAGAAAAGGAATTGATCTGACATGGGAAGAACCAACGGCCCAAGGGTGGTGATGTTGGTTTTTAAGGCTTCCCCTGCCACAAGCATTAGGTCTTTTGAGAGTGTTACAGCAGATTTTTGGACTTCATCTTCTTGCTGAAAGACACAATTATAAGACTTGTTGTCTGCACCTTTGTGAGTACGAACAGTATGAAGAAGTTGGTACTTTGAGCGTTGACGATCAGATGATCGGTTGGAGAGAAGGATTGCAGCACCCCCAACACGGAATATGCAGTTTGGGATGAGCATTGGTCGATTGTTACCAACATACCAACTGCTAGTCATATTCTCTGTGCTAATAACTAGAGCATAGGAATTGGGGTGTGCCTGTAACCAACAATCAAATATGAAAACTAAATTTAATCTATACAAGTAATTAATTAACTCACCTTTATTTTCCCCTAATAAGAATGGATGACAATTTAGTTTTGGTTACAATTACAATGTGTTTCTCTAGGTAAGAAAAGAAAAAAACTCCAAAAAGCAATTAAATTTATGAAAGATCAAATATAAATATATTCACTAATAATAAACATTCTTTCTATCTATTCCATTCGAGTTTAATTATTAGATTTCATATCACTATTGTTGTATTCTATTAGAGGTTAATTATAATATTTGAGATAATATCAATAAAAAATTTATAATATTCTACCTTATATATGAATAGTTAATGTGAGAATGCAATATAATAACGAGATGTATCTATTATATAAATAATAATCACAAACCTGTAAAAGATCCTTTACCAGATCTATAGAAATAAGACCAGCACTACAACCCATACCACCAAGGTTGTAGCTCAAAATATTTTCTCTAAGCTTGTAACGATTGACGATCGTGGCAGAAAGAGAAGGCACTGGATTGAATAAACTGCTGTTCACTATAACTATACCTAAATCTTTAGGGTTTAATTTAGTTTTTTTAAAAAGTTCATCAATCGCTTCAAAAATCATTGTTTCTGTCTCGTTTCTTGCCTCGGCTAAACATTGATTTATAGGTATTTGTAATAAGGCTTTGGGTGCATACGTCTTTGGTCCGAGTCCTGACCTATCTACAATTTTCATTTTGAAAGCTACACTTTCTTTTGTATAGTTTTCATTTAATACACAAAGTGTCATGAATTGTTCTCTATTACACATTTGAGTTGCAGGCGGCTTGTAACATGAAAAATCGACTAAATAAATATTTTTTGAACGATTCATAAAGTAAAGAATAGCGAGAAAGATATTAGAAAGATATAATAAAGTTATTTTTCCATAATTGAAGTTATAATGATTAGGTAACTGAATAAAGTTTTGGAGCTCGAACGTTGAAGCATGAGAAAAAATGAAGGCGAGGAGAAACAGGAAAAGGATGTAGAAAGTATTGGAGAACAAGGAGTGAAAAGCAAGCATCATGCGTTTGCTTTTAACACAAGAAAAAGACCCTACAATCTTATTCTCTCTTTTTGGATTCATAATGCATATATGTTATATATATATATTTTTTGTTTTCGGATTTGAGCTTTGGAGATAAAAATTAGAAAGAAACAAAAAATTAGACTACAAAAAAAAAAAATATTAGAGTTTATACGTAAAAAAAAAGAAAAGATTTAACAGATGCTTTTAGATATTAAGAGGTGAAGGTATCAATGTATAGTGCAAGGAAGAAGATGTGAGGTAAGAGCAAGATGGAAAGATCAAAGACATATGGACAACACACCAAAAACATGCACATATATACTAACAGATATATTTGCTTAAACTTATTGAATTCGTTTTTCCTAATATGTACACAATGTACATGTCTGCTTTGCTACCATCTTAAACTTTGCATTTTGAGGTGAATGTGTCAAGGAAGCTTGTGCGTGTATCTCTCTCTCTCTCTCTCTCACTGCCTCTCACATACCACTTCATCTTTTTATTAATATTAATAATATTATTATACATGTATAGGTCGTGCCCCCAAATTAGACCCATTTGGTTGTTTGGTATGTAAGTCGAACTTTTTTGCTTTAGACCATCAAATTCATTAAATTCAAAAGCCCTTTAAGCCTTAAGTTTGAAACTTTTCAGTCATTCAAGAAAGTAAATTTAAGCTTCAAAGCTAGCTCGTTACCTTCAAGCTTTCCCCCATTAAAGAAGTACGAGATGAATTGGAAATTTTTAGATGTATTTTCTGTGGTGTTTGTGGAATACATATTTATAGATGTAAATATTAAAATATATGTAGAAATACACAATCTATGTGTCTTAAGTTAATTACAATAAAAATATTAAAATATATATAATTTATCAATTTATTCTTTTATGCATTTCGACCTGTTGCATATAACTGAGTTTGCTTGGGACATAATCAGTGAAAAAAAAAATATACTAAATATGATTCGTTTCTATTGACACTTTTACCATAAAATTATTGACTACAGAGTTATTATGTTTTTAATTTATTAAACCTAAAAATTAACAGGCCAGACCTGTCTTGACATGTTGTGATGGGTGGGAAGAGTCGAGGGTAGCTGGGCAATTTTCTCCATCCCAAACAAACTAGAAATTAAGATTTAAACGTAAATAATAAACAATTAAAATGATAAAACAAACAAAATAATAATCAAAATATTAGTAAATGAATTTAAAAGTATTTAAAAATGGACCAGGGGCTAGCTTGAGCCAGCCTATAAGGCCTTGTGGGCTAAGCCCGAGCATGGACCCTCATGGGCCAAGTCATTGGGCTAGGCTGGCCCGTCCTAACAACGAATGGGCTGGCCCAACCTGGTCATACAGGAAGTCTTAACCCTATTGATTCTGAAATTCTAAATTACTTGATATTTAAAATTTATTTATAATTTATGAACTTAAACGGATTAAGAGAGGAGGAGACACCTTGTAAGAATTCTTCTTGGGACATTCTTTTGAAGATTCAAAAACTCCATTGCAACTTCATTATTTTTAACTTCCAAAGATGTTGGCGAGAACATCCCAATCTTCAAAAGAATATTTTAAGTTAATTATTTATAGGTAGACCTCCTCATTAAGAGAGATAGGAATTCATAGAAGACACATTTGCTTTTTTCGAAACTAAGAAGAGAAAGCCTGATTAGTGATCTTGGCCGATGAATATGTTTGGGAAGGTATATGTTTAGATGATTTAATTAGTTCTAGTACTATGAATAAAGCCATGGACATTTTCATATATATATATATATATATTAATTATGGGAATAAATTATGTTTTCTATGATAAAGAATTTTTTTGGTCTAAGTGTGATGGAGAAGTTATGCTAGGTGGATCTATTGGAGAAGATGAGATTGGTAAAGAGAGGAATTCTAGCCATATATAGATAAATTGGCTAAGGGAAGAAGAGCTTAATGTGCAACTATCGCAATCACATGGTGCTTTGGTACGTGTTAAAAGAAGTCTATATTTTAAGTTTATGATTATCTTATTATTTTTATATGGTATATAAATACATATATGTAATAAAAATTAATTAGAAAACAAAATTAGAATTCAAATAAAAATTAAGAAGTTAAAACCAACTAGTTCGTTAAAGGTTTAAAAAAAAAGAAAGTAAAATGAGCCCTTAGATGGGTATAGTCCTATAAGTAAGATGCACAAGCACAAACTAAAAAGTTTTTGAGGCACTTAATCCATTCACATTTGTGATAAATTTAAAAAATTTTAACCGTTTTAAACTAAAAATAGAGTAGTGTAAACCAAATTTAACATATGTAGCTATCTACATCAAATAAAAAGAAGGTTATGAAACACTCTTTTTTTTGCAAGTTTAACTCTAACAAGGTTAAAAGTTAAGAAGAATAGGAACTGAACCCCATATAATATTACATGATATTAGAATTTTATTAATTTACTCAGACATGCCATGAATCTCTATATATTTTTGGACTAATTTTAATCCTGTAGTTCAAAATACATTAGGCTACATTTAGTGTTATATCAAATAAGATAACGAGTTACCATAAGTGTGTAAGACCTTTCAACAGGTTTGTTTATTAGATTTTAGAGTTAATAATGTTAGAATATAAATGATTAATTGAATAATTTTCTATAAGTTTAATATTCTAAAATAATTAATTTAATTCATTATTTAAAATAATATTAATAATTTGATATCTAATTTTTAAATCTAAATTGTTCAACTTCTATCAAAGATTTATTTCAGTCAAAGTTTTGGAGGATCTATGCTAGAGTTTAAGCTTTTAAAATAATTAGTTGAACAAATAATTTAAGAGATTCTATAACTAATATATATTAAAGTCTATTTATGGAATTGAATTCTCCAAAGTGATGGAGAGTAGAATTTTGATGGATTTGTTGTCTGGTGGCTAACACTTAACTAGTCCATTAGGGATGAAGATGTTGAAGTTCCATGAATAGAGTCAATAGAGTAAACAAATGAATTTATTTGATGAAATATATATATATTTTATTATTTTTAATAGTTTTAGATAATCTAATAAATATGACAAATTATTAGTGATTTGGTTATCATATAAGTAAATTTACATGATACACGAGTTAGATTATATAATCTTTTTTTTTTTTTTTGAGATGGGTGTGAGCAATATGAGTCGAACTCGAATAATTAACTTTGCAATGAGAATATTATGTGATCTATACTAGGTCATATATAATTAATTATACTCTTATTAGTATTTTTTATTATGAAAGAAATTAAAAAGAAAATATAAGACACGATATTTGATATGCAACTAAATCCAATCCTAATCCTATGTAGTAATTACTATTTGATATCTAGTTAGAAATATTTTAGTTGATGATTTCAGCACTTTGAATAGGAAACTCCTTGAGTTCATCATTCCAAGGATTATTTTCTCCAGCTGAGTTGATGGAGTTGAGTGCATACCACACAACACTATTGCACTTGAAGCCTGACCCAAACCCTATTTGCCAAACACGATCACCCTTGTTGATTCTTCCTTTGGCTTCACAATATGCCAACTCGTACCACAAAGAACTACTTGAAGTATTCCCATACCTGTATAATGTCATCCGCGAAGGCTCCATATGCCACTGATCAAGCTTAAGGCTTTTTTCTATCTCATCCAACACAGATTTCCCTCCTGTGTGAATACAGAAATGTTCAAACGCAAGCTTGAAGTTTGGAACATATGGCCTTATCATTTTCATTTTCAGAAACTTTCTTGCCACAAAGTTTATTAAGAATCGTAGTTGTTCAAACATGGGAAGAACTAATGGCCCGAGAGTGGTGATGTTGGTCTTGAGTGCTTCTCCAGCCACAACCTTGAGATCTTTATTGAGCTCGATGCCAACTTTTTGGCTTTCATCCTCTTTCTGTAAAACACAATTGAAGGACTTGTCATCGCTAGCATTTTGTGTACGAAGGGAGCAAAATAGTTGATATTTTGCACGATAATGATCCGATGATCGATTAGACAGTAAGATTGCAGCCCCACCAACACGGAATAGACAGTTTGTGAGGAGCATAGAGCGATTGTTTCCGAAGTACCAGTTTTGTGTTAAATTCTCTGTGCTAACCACTAGAGCATAACAATTGGGGTGCACCTGGTTAGACAAGAAATATTACAGTAAGTTCGAAATTACAACATTAATTTAATTTGGTTTTCAAAATCTATATTTTAACAATTTGTAAAAACCATATGAACAAACAGATTTGTTTAAATGAGGAGATGGAAAAATATTAATTTAGACGAATGCAAAGTAATTAATCAGTTATTACCTGAAAAAGTTCTTTGACAAGATCTATAGAAATAAGTCCCGCACTACACCCCATGCCACCAAGATTATAACTCAAGATATTTCCTTTGAACTTGTAATGGTTGACAATGGTAGCTGACAGAGAAGGTGTTGGATTGAATAAACTGCTATTCACTACAAGAATTCCAATATCTCTTGGCTTTATCCCAGTTTTTGCAAACAACTCATTGATTGCTCCAAACATTACAGTCTCTGTTTCTTTCCTCGCTTCATCCATACACTGTTTGAAGGGAATCTGCATTAATGCTTTCGGCGCATACGTCTTCTCACCAAACCCTGACCTCTCAAGGATTTTCCTTTGAAAATCTAAACTTTCCTTTGTGAATCGTCTCGTCCGAGAACTTAGCTCCATGAAAATCTCTGTGCTGCATATTTGGGCTGGTTCCGCCTTATAACACGTGAAGTTTATTACATAAACCTTTCTTGGACGAGTCATGAAGTAAAGGGTAGCACTAGCTGAGAAGATGATGGAAAGCCATGGCAGAAGTGTTGTTGGAGAGCTAAAGTTGAGGTTGTTGAGTAGATGAATCAAATCTTTGATGGTTAAAGTTGGGAGATGGGTTAATTAATGCGATGAGAGTAAAAAAGGAGTATAAACAGTGAAACTAAGAGTATGACCAAGTTTCAGGCATTTAAGTTTACTTTGTTTGTTCTCTTGATTCATGTCCACGTACTGCTTCATCTGGTAATTGTTTTCTCTTCTTGTTTAACTAGTAGATATTACTTTGGAGATGAGAAATTTCTGAGGCTAATTAAACGAAACAAGTGTGGATGCTTAGGCGAGTGATTCAACAAACTATATATATTTATATATACAAACACTAAAAGGAAATATAAGAGTAGATAATATATGTGCTTAACATTTGTATCCAAGACATAGAAATCGAGAGAAAGGATACATATTTATAGATCAGCAAGAGGAAACTAGAAATAGATAAGAGTGAAGAGGTGAGAGGGAGAAGAGTCAAAGAGATATCTACCAAAACCTTCATAAATATGTTACATCCACGTGATCAATATAAAAACATATCTTGATATATTCATGTCTTCGGATAATAAAACAAAAAATCTGTTAAAACTTTGCGGCTTGTATAAATTGTGGGTGTATGCAAATCGACACTTTTTTTTCGTTTTTGCGTGCGTATATATATATTGACTTGTTGCTGAGGGGTTATGATGGCTGAGATATAGACACATAAATATAATAGATACATTACACGCTTTCCCATATATGTATATTGTATATAATTTCTTCAAAGTATATCAACGCATAATATTTTTTGGCCCATTTCTTTTCTTGCTCTGTTTTCTTTTTAGCTTTTGGATGGACTCTCAATGGATAATTTCATGAGAAGATGGATTAAATCAGGTGTTTTCAAGTTCGATTTTGAATAAATTGTCTTATTCATGTTTGATGATGAGAAAAATCCTTTTTATCTCTTATGTTAGTATGCTGTTTATCAATAAATTATAAATTACGTGGAATTATTAGTGTTCAAAATAAAAATATATACATTTAAAAAAATAAAATATGTATCTTGTTAACTGGACTATAATAATAAAAAGCATTACATAATGGTTACTAATAAATGATATCATGCTGACTTAAATAAAAGTTTCTACATGTAAGTTTGTAATCTATTAATATTAAATTTGTACAAAAATAAAGAATACAAGATAATCCGCAATCCTTTTGGTGTTCAAACTAAGAAATTGTTGTTAGATACTGAGATGAAACCTATCCAAAATATAGAAATTTTAGGAAATTGGGAGAGATGGAGGAACTTAGATTTGGGTAAATGGAAGGAGAGGGGTATATATAAGAGTGTTATACTACGTTGTTGATAGATTCTTTCTATACATTGTGCAATAGACTTCCGTTTCTAGTTAGTTAAGGTAAATCTAAATATTATTTTAATTTTATAAGTTATGATATTTAAGGACTTTGTAATGAAATTTATGTTATTTTCTTTCTATTATAGATGACTTCAATAGATACACTTGAAAAATTTACTCATATGATACTAGCTTTACCCTACAAAATTTTTACACCTTTGTGGGGACATAATTTAAGACAAACGTAGGAAGATAGAAAGAAATTTGAAATGAGGGATTTCTACCCGAAGAAAAAAGTTGTTCACCAAAAGAGCTCTATTGAAACACTTGAATATAATAGAAAGATAAAAAGAAAACATCAACAAATATTAAGTATTTGTTAAAATCTTGAAATTCCAAAGTGGTCTCAACTTAAAAATACTAGAGTGACTTCATCCTCACAATCATATATTTGCTTAATAGAACACCCCCATTTATCATTGAGCACAAAACTCCATTTAAACTTCTATTTAAGACCAAACCAACTTATATAAAGCTAAGAGTTTTTACGTGTTTAGCTTATGCTTTCTCCTTAACCAATAATAGACACAAATTTGACCTCAAGGCTAAGAAATGTATGTTCTTGTGGTTTTCTTTCAGTATTAAAGGATACAAACTCCTTGATGTCGAGAACCGTAAGACATTTATTTCAAGAAATATAGTATTCCATGAGAACATTTTTCCTTCCAGATTTTCAAACAACAAAGATATTAATCCCAATTCCCCTGATTTGCTACACATTGAGCCATAGATTACATAAAATATTTATCCTAAAAAAAAAAATTGGATAATGATTTCAGCTTAAAGGATACTGAAGTAGATCCTTACAATCATCATCCAAATGATATAGATACAAGTCCAACCTCTACTTTACCATCCCTTGATCAAGAGATATCTCATGTGATGCCAAGATAGGATAAATATAGTATTAATCCTTCTAACTAGTGAGAAGATCCACTAGAATTAGAAGACTTCTCTCTTACCTAAAGGACTTTGCATATGTATAGATTGATACTCTAATCACCTATTCACAATTGTTTGATGATGAGAATACATTTGTAGGTAAGCCTATACCTATATCTTATAGTGTTTCATATGCCAAACTTACTTATAAGCATAAAGGCTTTGAGTTTTCCATCAACTGTTAGAGTGAACCCTGTTCCTATCAAGAGGCTTACAGGAATTCAAAATGAGGCAAAAGCTATAAAGAGTGACATTAATGCACTGGAGTAAAATAAGACTTGGATGCTCACTGATCTACCACCTGACAAGAGGGCTATAGGTGCTAATATGTGTAAAAAGTCAAGTTCAATGTTGATGGATTAGTGAAGAGAAATAAAGTGAGATTTTTTATCGAAGGATTTACTGAAAAAGAAGGGTTAGATTATCATGAAACTTTTTCATTAGTTTCAAAAATTATTTTTATAAGATTGCTTCTTTCTTTCGTCGCTATTATTGTACACATTACGTATATACAAATTTTTAATTGGAAAATTTTTTTATCATGTTTATTGACAAAAATAAATTCAAAAGGAGTGGCAATAGTTGTAAATTTAATAAAAAAATGAAAATATGAAGTTTGACATGGTTGTCTTGAACATAATCATGGACAAAGAAAATCTACATTTTTCATTGATAAAGAGTTACTATATTTGATGAAACTTTCTTGCCAAATTTATCAATCTTATTTTAACTAACTTTCACCCATAAAAATTTGCATAAAAAATTCTACACCTGAATTATAGAATTTATATTGGTAAAAAATAATGTTAATAATTAAAAACAAACCATTTTCTACAAGGATTTTTAAATTCTAGACTTAAGACCAAATAAAACATTGCTTTGGTATTGTCTATTTAGTCTAGTTGGTGCAATTTCTTGGGTTTATCTCTAATTAGGATGTAACAGCCCGAACGCAAATGTTGGTGGGTACAGACATTAGCATAATATTTTTAACTAGTGTAACAAATAAATATTAAATATGCAACAGAATTACACTTTAATACACATCACTTATGACTAGATAATTATTTATTTACAAATAATTGAAGCATCTAGATTAATTTACAAATATAAGATAGAAACAAATAAGGTTTCCTTCTCCATCTTCTATTAATCTTGAACTTCTTATGACTTGGATGGGAAGTGAATTGGGGTGAGCTTCATAAGCTTAGTAAGAAAGAAAATTATATAACAGAGACTTACGTACATACATTCACGTAATATATAAAGTGTAATAATATTTATAATCAAGAAAATATCAAACAAAATATCACAACCAAAATACACAATAAACATTAACGAAAACTTATCTTAATCTTTTTCATTATATTCTACTCTTATTCCTCAATATTATTTATGAATTTTTTTTTTTATTATTCACATTCTTTATTCTTAATATTTCTCTATTGAATATCATACATCCACTCAAATATCACATATACACTCGAAATATCACAATACACTCGGAATATCATACTAAGATTTTATCACGCGATGCAGTTTATGTCGTTATTGAGGAGAGACAAAAAAGATCCCCCCATCGCATGGATAGGACACACGATCTCACATTGACCACAACAGTTATGTTTGCTAGGTGACCTACCCTCACAATTACCTATCCACGTTATCCACGTGCAGGTTCACCATATCTGCCGAACTTTAACTACACAAGCACCCTCCCTCCTCGATTCAAACTAAATGATTAGGTATCCAGAGTCCTTACACTTCACACTCTTTCCAAATCTCTCTCATGTTCAATTCAATTATTTCATACTTAACATATTAATTTCTATACATAATAAAACATAAACACATACACAAAAAAATATATGATATCATCACACACATAAGAGGCATATATTTCAAAATACTTTTTGAATCATCTTGTACTAGATCACACAGTAAGCACATGATACTCAGATTCTTTACATAACTGTACCAGATCACACAGCAAGTACAGTGCATCGTAAATCTGCACTAGAACATACAACAAGTACAGTGTACCCAAATTTTATACGTACATACACTGGTTATACATTTCATATGCATAACATATGTACACACATATTAATACACACACATATATATTACAATACATATATGTATCCTCACTACATGTCTCACATAGAATATATATTTATATTTACACACACAATCTCTACCAATACATGTGATGGATTGTAATATGTGCATAACACATAGCAGAATATAAAAACAACAATCCAATCTGATCTAATTGTGCTTAAAAATTATATTGCAGGTCAAAGATCAAATTTAAAACATACCTGACAGCGGGTTCTCAAATTAAATTGCTCAAAAATACGAACACTCTATTCATATCCACACCGAAACTAACATTTGTCGTTCAACTTTTTGATTAACGGAACGTATGGACAAATTAAACAATATAAATATGTTAAAATTTTCTAACAAAATCTTAACAGAGAATTCACCAATCTTTCTTGTCATGTGCGACTGATTTTTTAATTCTTTTTTCTCTATTTTTAAACCCCCCCCCCCCCCCCACACACACATATATATCATATATATATATATATATATATATATATATATATATAGATGGCATGACTGGAGGAGTTCCTTTTAGACTCTTCTTGTGGACGTCCAAGTTTATTTGGATGAGTATTTGGATGAGTTTGGACTCATCCACTTTCCTTTTTTTTAACA